CGCCACTTGCTCGTGAAAGGGCCTCCACTCGGAACTCCGGAGAGCCCCTTCCAGAGGATGCTTTGGTGTCCACGCTGGCCAGATATCTTGGAAGCGGTGGGAAGTGCCCACACTTTACTCCATCGCGTGAAACCTGCCAAATTTGTCTATGGGCAGTAGCAGGAACATTGCCCTGGGAAGGACTACAGGATAATTGGTTCACGCACAAGTACCATATTCCAAAATGTGTCCATGCCAGGAACAGGCTGTTTACTATATCTATAGAACAGCCACTTGAGTTGTGACCGTCGATGTGAAAGCTGTGGCATTTGAAACGTCCGTGTGAAAGGTGTTCGCACGTTTCGGCTTGATAAGCGAAATGAATATAATCCGCGGTGTGTATTATATTATTAATTCGTTAGAAACCTGCCGACGTCAGCCCGTATGTGTCTGAGTTTTCTACCAATGAAACCCTCCCGTGTTAAACTTTAGCGTCCACGTTTCAAAACGCTGGAATAAAATTACCAAACTACATTCTTTAGACTCGGTATTCAGGATTTCCTTGGGTGGTTATTATTCTTCGGTGGCCGAGTGTGTCAAGGGAAAGACAGCTGGTCTGGTACCCCAGGTTTCAGCCATGCGTGCACGTTCAACTGTAGGGAAACGAGGGCCTTAGCCGAGTCACTAATGAGTGCACACAGAATCACGACGTTTTCAAAGTTGGCTCAGTTGATTTGGGGGAAAATCCCAGCGCTGCAAATTAAATGTGTTGGCTGCATATCCAAGTACACTTTTTTTTTACTGGAAATATGGAAAAATATCTCAGAATACCAGAAGATTGGAGCTACTTATGGCGTCCCAGTCGATCAACCCACAACCTCTGGAACCTGGGTCTGTTCCGTAACCCCCTGCCAGCGAGCCTTCGACACTTCCACGTGGCCTCACAGTGCACCGTACATGTCACCGCCACTTAGTGGTGAACGGCGGTTGTTGTTGGGTGTTGTGACGTGCTAGAGGGGGGAGGGGCACCCAGGAGTGTGGGGGGGGTATTGGGGGTGGGGGAGGCCCGTCGTACAACATGCATACACACAGCAGAGTTTAGGCCTGTTAGACGCATCACATGCCTAAAATAACGCCGGTCCATGCTTTGATCAAAGATATAATTTTTATATATTTTTTGCTGGCTGGTGGAAGGGACGGACGGTTGCGTCGAATGCGATGTGTGAGTTCCTATCTGTACTGAAGACCAAACAGAAACAACCTAGGAGACAGTACACCAGCTATGTGTCTTACCTTTCTGTGCAGAATGATTTGCGTCTTCATCTATGGTGTGCGGTGGGCTCCCTGCGTATTACCATTTCATCTCAAAGACATAAATTCCCGAAGAGGAGAATTGGGCCAAAAATAAAAGGAAAGGGCTTCCAGGAAAAGAGTTGGAATATGTTGGGGTTAGGATTTAAAACTTTAATCTTCGAACGTAATTGAACAAATCAACTCCTGGAGTTGACTGTCGAAAAAAATACCCCGAATTTTTGTGATCGAAAGCGTCCTAAAATTGCTGTCCGTCAAAAGCGGAGCTTAAACTAAGTCTTCCGCACATGAACTAGATTGTTAATATAATCTACACACAGTACAAGTGCTATATTCTTCTCTCGACGGCACCTCACTGACTCGTCCACTGAAGTGAACTCATTCAGTAGGGCCTCATTACAACTAGAACTCGTTTTAATATCAACTTCGAGTGCAACCACACCAAGGTCGCATATGAGAACGCCACACGTGTCCACCACGACCAACAAAGCCGCTCCCCACCCACCCAATGCAGCGGCGCAGCTGTCGTGTTCTTGAGACCACCTCACACGGCCACGCGTTCTTAATCAGCCGTGCATTCTCTCAGTCCGAGAATTGGCTGGCATCTGTGATTTTGGGTGGCAGGAATTGGTTTGTAGCGAGACCCCTGGTTCCGCTATTGCGTGTTGGACTTTATTACTGTGCAGTAATTTACTGCGCGGTTCTGATCTTGGACCTCGTGCCGACTGATACATCTGTGCAGGTTTGGTCTGCAGTGGAGAAGGCGACCCTAATCGCCACTGATGTTAAGCCATGTAAGGGAATCGAACTCGGGTTTCCAGGTTCATATTGCAGTGCTTTAATCACAGCACTACCACTCCTCCCCATGCAGCATAATGCGATTCAAAATAATAATGATTTCTCACACGCGATTTCACGTAGCCATCATGAATACAAAAATAGATTGTATGATAAATCAAAGCTTTGCTACACACCTGTCACTAATAATAATAATATGTTACATAAATTCTTCTGTTATGGCTCCCTCCGCGCACCAGTCTCTCACTTGGTGTGAAGCTTCATGCTGCGACGTTTCTGAAACGATTCTCTATCTCATGACATGATGGTGTCAAAAATCGGGTTGACATTTGAGGATTTTTTTTTTCCGTACAAAATTCAAACCTTGATTACGTCGCTTTTATTAGACCTCTCAAATCTGGTTGACAGTGTGATTGGTGATAGAGAAACTTTTGCAAAAAACCTTGCTTGTTCATTTGGCTGGGTGCCCTCTAAATTATTCCTTGTTCCGTTCCCAATGAGCTTTGTGAACAATTTATGTCCACCTAATTTATGTCCACCTAATTGGAGGATTACACTCCTTAAAGTAGACCTTTCTCCCACTTTTTAATCGAAGAATGGTCGTGGACTCATTCTGTGATGGAGGCGTTTAATTATCTGGCCATATATTGCGCATGTATATATTTAGAGTTTGCGTGTCCGTCTCCCCGTGGTCGCGTGGATTTGTCTCCCGGGTCCTCTGGATTTCCCCTCCACATTTGGAATCAACAGCACGCGTTTATAGTATTTGATTGCTATACATTTCCACGTGATAAGCCACTCGGTTGAGCTATCATTTGTGGCCAGGTCGCTTCTGAGAAAGAGCTGTAGAGCTCAGTGGACCTTACATGGTAAAATAAAAGTAAAATAAACTGTCCGCAATTATTCCACCTGATCCAGGAGCTTTCCATTGAAGGATGACATCTGAAAATCTTCCCCCACCCCCCTTCATCTGATAGATGCTGCGTGTTCCTGGGATTAAATATATATTTTCTACCGCAAGGCTAGTTCAGGAACCACTTACGGTTGATGATGGTAATGGTTCCCGAAGTAGCCTGGCCATTAAATGTAAGGGCGCAGGAGAAAAAAATGAAAAGCCGTCGTGCGAGCATTTAACGTTTGTCAAGCGCACACCGCTTTGCGGGAGCATTTCATCCAATTCCAGCGCTGGTCAGCACACTTTACTATTAATCTATTCAAAACAGTTGATGTAGACCTGTCTTATTTTTGGATGTATTGCCTTTTCGTAAACATTCATATTCCCCCCCCCCCCCGGTGCAATTTTTGAGTTGTAGCCCATTAAACGCGTGAATATTTCAGCAGGAAATATTTATCACGCCGTCAATTTCCGTAACCCCCATTACGTGTGCCGGTCTCTCCTCACTCCCTCTCTCTCCCTCTCTCTCCTGGGTCCTGAGTAGTGCACCACAGCCGCTGTCATTGCTGCAATTGCAGGCCGAGATGTGTCCTGGTTGCCCGTGAGAGATGCTGGGATGTTATTGCACGCTGGGATTTTTGCCGGCTCGACGAGGGCTCCGCTGTTAGCAGGAGGTTGGCTCTCCCCCAGCCGTGGTTTTGTGTTTACTCTGAGGGCACCGAGCCCCCTTTTTCGTGGCTTGAAACGTCAATCAAACAGTGGAAGATGTTTTTTTACTTTTTCCAAATTCACATTTCCGACGCGTGCTACGCTCCAATAAACGCACTTGCCCCGGCGTTACAGATCGTGCGCTTCCTTGTTTAACGAGCTTGTTGCTGAGATTTTACAGGGTTGGTTGAACGCCTTTTTTTAATGGGTATGTAAAAGAGGATTGGGGTTGGGGGGGGGGGGTTAGTGAAAGGTTTTATTTAAAATAAAGTCGGCCAGATAGCTCCGGAGGTTAAAGAAAATGTGAAGCAAAATTCTGTCTCCACATGTAAATGACAACATTATTTTAGTCTTATCAGACACTTTGCTTTCCAGGCCATTATTATCAAGCAGCATATAAACCAACACACTGAGCTGATATTCACCTTCTGGGTCTCATCAGCATAATGTTTCGTTGAGTTTGTTGTCCTTCCCCCGCACATCCCATTGGCTAAGTTTGGGTGCAAAAAGAAGTTCAACGTACGTACATACAAGCAGAGTTAGGCCTGTTAAATGCATTACGTGGCTGCAAAAAGAAAAGAGTCAAGAATACAGTGGGATAGAACCACAATTCCAGAGCGAAACGTCAATCGACGAAGCGCATTGCCACGTGCTGTCCACCACCAAGCCCTTCCGGTGTTTCTTATGCGCATGATGATCTGTGCGCTCTGACCCAAGCAGAGCGTTAAACCTCGTTAGGAATTTCAAAATTCCGATTGCTTCTCTCCAGCGTTGTGTTTGTGTATTTACGTGCAACGCTTCGATACATTTTGGTGTGAATCGGCGCTTCATGAAATTAATATTGGTTGTATTGTTATTATTAGTTTGGGGGGTGGTGGTGGAAGGTTAGGAAGGGAGGGAGGAGCAGGGATCGAGCAAAATGTGTCGAAGCCATGCCGGGCTGTATGAAGAACGGTCTGGGTACGGCTTGCGTCTGGTGCCTAATGGCCGTGGAAACACGACGAGACGGTGCCAGATGACCATCAGTGGTCTGGCATTGTTCATGGTCTGCCATTTCTGTGTGGAATCGGGACGTCTGCCCTCTGACAAGAGTTCACGATACTTGTGACACTGCCACGCGTGAAGCTCTTTGAAGTGGTTTTTTTTTTTAGCTCCAAATCAAACTTTTGAGGACACTGAAATAACTATTGCTTCTTGTGGAGGGGTGGGTGGGGGGGAGCATCAAGATATATGATGGTCGGATATGTGATGCTATTTTGTGATGATGATGTTTGTGACAATAACGAATATGCTGATGTCCTTCTCCCAGGAGGTGGATGAGGGGGAGGCCCCACAGAGGAACTGGAAGGGCATCGCCATCGCTCTGCTCGTCATCATCATCGTCTGCTCCCTTATCGTCACCTCCGTCATTCTGCTCACACCCGGTACGGACGTGTCATCGTCAATCTACACTCGGCTCCACATTTATTACACGGAAGTGGTCATTCTATCAAAGCCGCTGTCGATATCACACAAAGTGATTGCCATGTTATCGACGCTGGAAGGACGATGCGGTGAGGGCGACCGACGGCCTGGATAGCAATCTTTTTTTGCATGGCGGCCGAGTTGTTCAGCAACGTTTGTTCATATGATACTTATGGTGGTACCCCGGGGTACCAGATAATACAAACTGGCCGAGGCAACTTAATACTTTATTTATGGGACACTATTTTTTTTTCCCAGGGGTGTTACTTAACTCCGCGACTGGGGTACGACTCAATCCGAAATCAGTGCCACTCCGCGATGTCGAAAGGCCAAACAACAGCATTAAAAATCCGTTATCGAGCAATTCATCTTTGAATAGGGCATCGTGTACATCTCGTCGAGATGAGTCGATTGCCGCATCGCCGATCATCAACAGACTAAACATGACTGCATCACGGACGTTATGCGAGAGCCATGAGGTTCATATCCACGATGCCACCCGCATGAACGTGGGCCTGAGGCTCACGTTCATGCGGTGGCACTGTTATGTCGTTACTTGTTTGTGCTTTGTTGCTGCTCCCCTTTGTCCCTAATTAGTTCAAAATACACACACTTCCGACACCTGCACCTACGTTTATATTGGTTCGCGTGCATTCATGTTTCTAGCATCGCACCAAGATAATAGACATTGCTTACACGTGTAACGAACCTTTTTTGTTTGGCGCCTCTTGTCCTCGCAATATGTTTGCGCAGCTTTTTCCTTTCCGATCCGCGTAATTTTGTGTTTACCGCCGATTAGATACCTCCCATTTGTCAGTTGTGCAACCTTCCTTCAAGGACCCCTCCTTACTCGTTCTCGTGCAACGTTGATGTCGTCGCTCTGCTCGTTTACCACGGATTTCCCTTGCAATATAGCCGGGCAATTGAGTCTTTCCACGGATCATCCCGTTTGGCCAAACTCGAACGAATCATCGGCACATCAGATGCCATTTAAAGTCCACCAGACGTCAACTCGTACATAACCCAGGAAATCATCACGAACGGCCGATATGAACCCCAGACTTTCGGATTGCAGTCGAGCGCCGCGTCTGATTTGGCTTTCTTTGACCTCTCGCCTGCTGAAACAAAACCAAAATAAAATCGAAACCTTCCAGATCTACGCGGTCTTACACAGCCGCGCACTCCGCATAACGCCGGCAGCTCGTCCACGATCACGCCGTCAATGTTGTCACAGAGTGTGCGGTTATCCAAAGTCGCGGTCTCGTGTTTATTTGATACTCATGCCGAGTTGGGGGCTTTGGCAGCTTCCTGTTCACTGGCAATGGCACTCCTCAAAAAGTTAACAAAGCTCTGTATTACTGTATTATTTTTTATTTATTATTCAGCGTCCTTTAAAACCTACAGATCAAAAAAGCGTTTGTATTCATAAGGTCAACAAATGAAAGGGTTCGTATTTCCCCCACCCCATGCAGTTGTGCTATAATCTAGTGGGGGGGGGGGGGGGGGTGTCTGTGTGTGTATGCACGCGTGACAAAATCGGTGACTTTAAGTGACACCGAGAGGGTGCGCCTTACTTTCCGGAGCGTCTTATAATCGAGCGAAAAGTGACAAAATATTTCAAAGGAAAAAGAAAGGGAGGACAACATCCTGAGAACACCAGGACAGTTGGCAACTGTAGCGAGTCGACACCTTGGCGAGAAGCTGGGGACCGCACCACGTGGGGAGGACGGCTATCTGAGCCGCGACGCCCATTAAGGCGTAAATACATCATTATGTGTCCCCACTTGGCCGGGAAAGCCCCATATCTCTTCTCCCACCTGCCACATCCATTCCACTCTTCACTCTTATGTCATTTATTGTACTTTATTTTATTATTATTATTTATACCTTTCTATCAAAACCACCCCCCCCTTCCCCGTTAACCCGAATTTGATGGGCGATTGTCTGTGACTGCGTCAAGCTGACGGAGTGATTTTTCTTTTTCATCGAGCAATTGCCATGTTCCCCACCGATCCCCACCACCACCACCGCCCGCCTGCCCCTGGGCCGACGCGAGACTCCGGCCACGGGGCCCCGTGTGGTCGTTAGTCAACCGGGCAGGCAGGGTGGGCCCGAATTTCTCCCGTTCAGGCCAGGTAAAAACTAAATTATTATATCGCGTTTGGAGAAACAGCCTAGTCACCAGACGGTTGGTGATGAAAAAATAAATTGACTTTTGAGGAGTTGGGTGAATCTTCATAAAATAAATGTTATTTATCCCATCCAGACGCTGGCTCATTTCATACATTCCGCATCTCCTATCCCTGTTGTTTTTTCGCATGCCCGTGCACTCGTCAGCCTTCGTTTATTTTTACGTTTCTGTAACTTAATTTTAATACGAATGTTTTTTTAAAAGTAATTTGTCTGAGCTAAACTTTTATTTCATGAAATGTAATTTAATTTTAGTATTTTTTCTGTTTGTGCACATTTTCAATTTCTTCTGTAAGATGGTTCTTTTGCTCTAATTTCAATTTTCTTTCGAATAGTGTTTGTACGTTCTTAATAATAATTAAAATTTGTGATGCATATTCCATCATCGGATCCTAATACGCAATGCATGGAAAGCAGGAAACAAAACCAGAACCAGGACAACTGACCAAACTAAAGAGCAAAGGCCAGTTTAAAGAGATGGGTTTTCGAAGCAGACAAAAATACCTACCGACTCTGATTTCCTGATTTCAAGTGGGAAGGCGTTCCATAGTTTGGATGCCACCCTAACAAAAGCACCGATCGTCAAAAGACCACAACCTCGACCTGGAAGTGCTGAGCAGTTGGAGATCAGAATATCTTAAGGACCTTGATGGAATATGTAAATGCATTAGTTCTTCCAAGATTGCTTTCGTTATTTTTGTTGACCCAGGTCACTCTCGCAAATTGGATACTATCTTGATCTCTTGACTTTCTCACCTGCTTAAGCAACATAAACTTGAGACTTACAGATCTATGCGTCATGCAGTAGCATTCATAGAACTTTGCTAGTACGCTCCACACCGCGGCATCGAGGATACGAGCCAAAGAAACGTGTCCCAGAATTTCTTCACACCCCATTAAAAGACATCTCTGAACAAGAAAACGTACCTGTTCTCTATTTTGTTTAACACAACGTCTCCTTCGATTCTCCCCGTCCTTATTCTTCACGGAAGGTACTGAAAACTACGGAGAGCAAATCCATACAACCGGTGACCCACCAATCTAGATTGCCTTGACCCTGTCGATAATAGGCATTGTGGATTAATGAGCCGAGGATAAGAGGACTTTTACTGTACTAGATATGCTTGGTAATTCGGCCCCTGGTGGAGAATATAAATCCTGCAATGGGGGCCACGGGAAGTTGAATCTTTATGGGAAACCACACGCCCCCTATGGTCTATCCTAGATAGTGGATGCGATCGTACGACATCACAAAAAATACAGTTTAGTTACTTCCAATTAACAATATCTCCTCCAATGGTAACTACTTTTTTTCCCCATGATGCCATTCAACATTGAAATAAAAAATATATTTGCCATTTAAATCAATTTAAATGTACATTTTTGTTTAACTTGATTACAATTTATGTGAAATTCGGTGCCTGCACGCATCAATGTTAAAGATGCTCATTATTTCATCAACTTTTTAAAACATTTACCAGTTTATCTCGAGGGCTTCATGGCTGTAGAGTGCAATCACCGACTGGTGAGCCAGGCAAATCTTTGCACCCTCTGTCTCGGTGTTCTTCAGAGGGGGGAGGGACCACAATCGTTAATAAGACATCATCAGTGCGATGGCCGTCACACATTTGAAACCCATTGGGGTTTGACAGCACGTTGGGGTGTTTTCACATGCGTGTATTGTCGGGGACCGCACTAAAGGCCACCAGTGGCCCAGGGGCCTTGCAATGAAGAACACTGCTCCGCTCTGAAGAAGAGCCGTGGCTTGAAATGCCGGCCTGCTTCGGTATTCTCTCACTGTAAGGCCGCGTAATTAACACGTGGTGAGTGTTTTTTCCAGTTCATGGCATCAACGGGTTTATCTTTATAAAAGCTGTAGAAAGAGAGAGGCTGAGAATTGCAGCAGTGCAAGCAGCATGACGCAGACCCGAGGCGATGCTTAAACGTGTGGTCTTTTTTTTGTGTCGGATGGAGCCCATCATTCACTTCAGCCGGGCGCACGAAGAAACAATCCGCTCGGATATTTGGATGGCCTCACCGTGGTACTTTGACAATATACGATACGAACGAAATGCTCTTCGTGTATCGTAAAGCAGTACGATGCAACTGTACGGTGCTTTGTTTACGCTGGGAGTCCATTTCATCGCGGCAGTTGAACGCAGTTTAAATTCATCTCGCGGTCGTGTGTCTGTGAGCGAGGAGCTCGATTGGGGGACTTCTGTTTGGGGATCGCTGACGTTTCCTCTGGCCCCTTGTTTGCACCGTGGTTTTTGTTGTTGTTTAGTCGACATCAAACATTGAGCAGGAGCCAATACGCTAAGCTTAATTTAGAAAACAAAAAATCGACAGGATATGACTTTTGCATGCTTCGTGGGCTGCTGCTGCTTACATGTTTGTAATTCTTTAAAAGAGTTGTATACATGTATGCAAACATTACCAAATTAATATTATGATTCATAATTAGGCTGTTTTGGTGTCGATCGTGTAGGTATTGTGTCAATGTTTGATAACGACCCTTCACCGTCCGACAGAGCCAACCACATGAAGTTGTCAGGTGACGGGCAAATACGCCAATTGATTTGGTTTCATCAGCAGCACCTGAACATTAATATTTCCTCTTCATTTGTGTAATTGGTTTTTATCTTGGGATATCTCGCTTCTCGCGAAATCCCTCCACGGGGAGTCCCGCGCAGCCTCCGCTTACGGTGACTCGACCGCGTCCAGGTGTGCCGAGAGTGAACTATACCGGAGAGCGTGACCCCACGTGACC